CTAATTCAGTCAGTGACACTTTTGTCTAACGGGTGCGGCTTAAACAATAGGTCTCCACAATATTGGCAAAACAATGCATTCCGACCAGCTAATCAAGCACCGACTTTTACGCACAAATAATAGCCTAAATCTAATGAAGATGTTTACTTTCAAACTTTGTTTTTTAAGTTTGTCCGCCATATTTCTTTTGATGTCTATCTCTGCCACCTAGTGTCGTAAATTAAAACATTTATTTTTTCATAACTTTTTCGAACTAATGTTTTAGGTTTATTAGTAATTTCTAAAATTTCTTCCCATTTTTTATTAATTATTTAGCTCATTGCCATTGACGCTTGCAATTTTAACATCTGAATTAAAATAGACCCTATCGTCATCGTCTAAACACATTCATAGAACGGCTTAGGTAGATGGGTGGAACCATAGATATCATACATACACGTGTATATATTGTATCAATGGATAGAAATGACAAAAATGGACGTTCTTGGCATCACGTATCTATATATATACGAATGCGTTTATGTATAAACGTGTTTATGATAAATAATATTATTCAAAATATCTGTCAATCTTTATTTAAATTATGGCTTGAACTAAAAGTTGCCCTTCCTGGCCGTAATGTTCATGTTTCTATCAATTTCCAAATTTACTTTCTGTTTGTCCAACCTATAAACGGTAGCACAGATTCTAAGTGTATCAAGTGCACTGAACTTCCATGGAGCTAAATAGGAACGCCAACATGCATCTACTATGTGCATGTCAAAGCCACTGCCACTGGTCAAAGCCAAGCAGTCAAAGCTCTGCCATTACTGTGGCGCTATACAAGGGTATATGGGGAGTTGGGCGTGCTGGCATCCTGACGCGATATCTCTTTCAGGCAATGTCAATCTCTCGTTATATGGAGCGGACCAGCAACACGTGTGGATTTAAAATTCCGATCTCAATATTTTACTTGGCAGGCAATGCCCTGCCTTCTGCCTGGCCCTACACTAATGTCACGTGTGCCCCACTATAAGGTGATGATATATAGACGCGTTACCACTCAAAGGAACTGTCAATCAAAGGATCGGTCGATCTTATGTGCTTAACAATGAGAGAATCACACCAGCAGTAGGCGTGATCAGGAAATCGCAATCTCAATATTTTACTTGGCAGGAAACGCCCCGTCTTTCCCGTGGCCCTATACTTAATAGCTAGAAACTCCGTGTATAAACCTTGATATTTAGCATTATAGATAGTAACAATATAGCATGTTATGGACCCTAACTACACAATCCACACGTGACAATGTAGGATCAATAGAAGCAAAATAATAACACCTTATATAATAACAAACCAATATTACTTTTTGTTGATAGATGAGTTTATTATTTTAAGCAATGACTGCAGTCATTTAATACAAACGTTACAAACAAGTTTGAAAATCTCAAAGTGCACCCGCATTGTAACGTAAAACAACGAAGGAACCCATACTTCTTACGAGAGTCGTATATGACCGCATAAGAGATTCCATCCACGGTTATGAAATGAATGTGATATATTAGAATAATTCTTACACTAACAAGTTTTGAGAGTTTGCAATATAGCTGCATATTGGAAAAGGTGCGGTCGTATGTAATCTCTGCGACTATGTTGACTAGTTACGAGTCTGGGATGTTCTTTTTACAAAAAAATATATACATTAGGTACACAAAATCTCACAAATATACTCTCTGCTAGTTTGCTCTGCACTGCACGTGTGTTCACAGAGAAACATGGGCTGTAGATTCGTCACATGAACCGAAAGCAGCAGCATGTCTTGCAGGCACTACAAAAACGATCTCGCCCGCAAAACATACGATTGCGCTAAACATCGTGTCTTATTTATTAAGAGTTCGGCACGAGAACGCCCTGGACGGACAACGGCACGTAAGAGGCGGGTACACACGAGCGCTTACAGCTTACTCGAATGAGCACCACAGACCCACCTCCAAGAAATGTCGTTAGGACTAAACCTGACTATCTAAAAACGTCTGAAATAAAATGTTGACTATGGGGCCTAGCTTTGGGCACTACAGGATCTAAACACATACAGATACGTTTACAACTACAGCGCTATGCACCACAGACACACGATAATGACTGGCATGCAGTTGGTTTATGCGAACTGTCATACACTGTCATAACCAGACAAAGCTCTATTTTCCTGCACTGTCTCTGAATGCATTCCACAACTGTCTGGTCCCTTCACCCACCGACCAGCTTCACACATTACTACATGATTCCGCTTGCACGTTAAAACGTTCAAATCATTTAAAACCTCACATGATACTGCCATTCTTGCTAAAAAAAATCTGGACGGCTTGCACCTCCTAAAACATTATACAGCTGGCGCTTATGTTATGATGTCAGCATCTTCGCTATTGGGTTTCATCTTCAATGCAGTCGCATCCACGCTGGGGCTGTCTTCCCCGAATGCATATCGGTTTACCGGCTTTGCTGAAAAGTGGAAAGCAAACTCTATATCGGTCAACTTCGCCGAAAGAAAAAAAACACTGCAAAAATGATCGGCGTGATCAAATAAGTGTGATGAGAGAGGAGAGCAATGAAGAAAGGCTTCAGCCAATTATGAGCTACTATATCTTGCTCTCTGAAGTTTGCTTGGTAAAACGTGAATTGTAAGTGTAAGTGTCCCACAGGTCAGCCTGCTCTTCAACTGATCGACCGGCTACCAGTGGCACACTGCAAACATGACCGCACTTCAACAACTACCTACTACTAACTCTAGCAACTCAGTATCTGCCACTGTTCATTGGCCACCTCTCCCTACTCACTGGCCACCTTTTACTATTCACTGGCTACATTGTCCAACACCCTCCCCCTCAACTTGACACTACTTAACTAGCAATGCTCCATTACCCACTCACAAGTTTGTGCCATTTGCTGGCAATTTACTTCCACCGACTGGCAACTGTCTCACTCACTGATAATGCTGCACCACTCAAGCACAACCCTGTCTCACTCGCTACACGCCCACAAAATGTCCTCTCATTCACTGACCGACCCGGGCTAACTACTCGTGGGCAGCACTGTCAGTCGCACTTACACTTACAGATTGAATCGTTGGAGTGCAGACCGAGTGGAGGGAGTGGTTGAGGCCTTTCGTGTAGCTGCAATGGCGGCAATGTCTTTACAGACAGTGGCGTGGCGACGACATCACTGTCATCACTGTGCTGTGCCGGCACCGTCTTGTTATGCTTCTTGAAGAGCTTCTTTTTCTTCTTCTTCTTCTTCTTCTTAGTGTCCGCTGGGTCAACAGAGCGAGCAGCCTCTCTCTCGCTGTCAACATTGTCTGAAGACAAGTGTGAATGCGTTAAATATGATATATATTCGAATAAATGTTGCGTTGTTGTTATTGTTGTTGGTGCTGTTGTTGTTATTGTTATTGTACGTGTTGTTGTTATTGTTGTTGGTGCTGTTGTTGTTATTGTTTTAATCGTCAGTGCAATTACAATATTCGTAACGTGGTAGCGATTGAAAATTATTTGTTTACAATTTTAGTATTAGTATTACTAATTGCTAATACTATTAGTATTACTTACGGACTGCGACTTTCTTGGCATTTAGGTGTTTTGCTGCCTGCTCTAATTCCAAAACTCGTAATCCGATTGCTTCAGTCTTTTGAAGAACTGCTGTACTTTCCAATAACAGATCTTCAAAGATTTTGTTTGCATATCTG